GCCGCTCAACACATCAAATACAAGCTCTTAGGTAAACTTCTCACAAAAGTAGAAAAAAATTCTCGCGCCGCCATCTTTGTTTTAAATTTTCGTCTTTTAATCTCGCGCTTCCTTCGCACGTTTCTCTCGCAAGTGATGCATGAGTGATCTGTTCCCCGCGCGAGGAAACTGGTACGAGCCACCTTAAGAGGTGTCGTAGCCTGTCTTGATTTCGGTAAACTTAAGGACTACTTTACGGGCTCACGATTAAAACTCTCAGATGTAGAATAAACTTATTTATTCCCTTGACATCAATGTTGTTTAACTGTTAAAGGCCGTAAACTGAAATTCGATCGGCATAAAATATAAACTAGAAACTACAAGGTAGGCAAATAGCTCAAAGAGAACGCGTGGCAGTTTTCCCGCGAGTAGCTTTAACTCCGAAACTTATTAGAATATCGGTGATGAAAAGACTTAAACGAGAAACGATGGCCTGGTAACGAGGCTCTTGCAGCAGAAGGCTACATTAACATCTAACTGTGCCTAAAAGGCAAAAACAATGGTAACTCTTGTTTCCGAATGTCGCTTTGGCTAAGGCGAACAATTATATACAATAACATAAAACGAGTACTAAATATCTAAATTCGATTGAAAACTAAAACTAAAGAAGTTTCTTAACTTACATATCGGTCCTGCGCTTGCCTCTTGTTGCTTGTTTTCTTGAATTCTTTATCTTATTTTTCTTGTGTTCGATATGAACACGCAGAAACTACACCTCGAGGTTAAATGAATACGTACTTTAAGAGCGGAAAATCACACAAACGAGCTAATTGTTTCTTTGTCGGAACGGGAGCACGCGCTGTTAACCCTTGGCTACAACAGACCGCTTGGCGTTCGTTACACGTGAGACGTTGTTGTACTCTACACCTAAACGATCACTCCACTTGGAGAATGAGAAGCTCTCGCGACAGTAGCCTCCTTCGCAGACGCTCTTTGGGCTCGTCACGCAATCTTCCTCGCCCAAGTTCGTGGGAAAGGAAGATTGCGTAACGAGCTCAAAGAACGTCTGCGAAGGAGGCTACCGCGAGAGCGACTTTCATTACTTTTTTCTTCTTCAGGATTTTCACATATGGCACGATTCAAGTACCTTAATTTATTTATACATATAAGTTATGGAATTCTCTCCCTAACTACATGAGATCGATTCCTTAATTAAGTAAATTTAAATTGGAAATTTCCAAAATGAAATTTGACATTGACTGTTGTACTTTTTGTAGTAAATAATATTTTAAATTTCTAACTTAATTTCAATGTCTTTACTTGGAGATATTAGCAAGTATTCGCTATCTTTAATTCAAGTTTAAATAAAGTTATTGTATTGTGTTGTATTGTTGTATTGTAAATGCTTCATACAGGGCATTAGTAACAGAACTTTAACCAACTTCGCTCCTCCACTAAGGAATAATCGGAGTGGGTCATTATAAAATTCGACAGAGCGTAAAACATGGTAAAAGAATTCTATCATTTGTTTAGTAAGTAAACAAGCTGTAGGTAATCACTATCATGTAGGCGATTTTGTACAAGTTCTTCATCATGCGCAATATGTGGTACACACGAAACGATAAAGAAATTTTAAAAATTGACCTTTGGCGGTCTACCGTATTTTTAACGTATTTCAGTATTTCAATTTTTTAATGTTTTTTTCTGATCCTTGTACCGATCCGGATTTTGTCGGCGCTGCGCTCCCTCATAACAAAGTTACGCTCAAAGTTTCCGGCTCGTAAGAATCACTCGTATAGGGCTCGCTATTTATAAACCCCTTGTGAGCTTGGAGAATCAACGTGCAAACGTCCCGAGGACTCTTCCAATTCAGCATCTACACACATAGTCACACCTTTAGACTTTCAAAGAGCTCTGACTCAGTTACACATGTATTGACTGTGATGAGTATTTTCAAAATTTCCGAAGTTACAGTTATACTCTGAAAGGGTGAAATTACGTAATAGGTTGCTTAAATCTTAGTTGGCGCTAACTCCTTAAAGCGGGGGTAAGATTATATATTATATATCTCAAACCTGCGTTATCTCTTGATTTAGTTTGTGAAAATATCATTCTCACATATACTTTGTACTTACCAAGTTCTACGATGTCGATGAGTGCAGTCAACCAACGATTTTTGACGAGATCAATAGCGCTTTATATACTGTTACTAAAAATAGATTTTGTCACGTGATAACCCATGGGACTCCACTCACAGACCAAGACAAACATTTGCGACCAGCTTAAGGAAATGTATGAGCGAGAGCTGTAAAATTAAAACAAAACGACGAAAAATTTCGTCAAAAAAATGACTTAGCGTTCTAAAAGGAAGCGGCATGGTTAGTACCAAACACTGTTGTTGGGGTGATTGTAAGACAGACTCAAGATATGCAGATAAATAGCCAAAATCACTCAAAGAG